TGCACACTCAGAAGACTTGCATTTAGAAATGTGTGACATAACTACCAAGTCAATGTCCTGTTGCACGTGTCTGAGCAATGAAACAAATGTTGAGACAGCTCCCTGTTTTTCAGATCAGTTCTTTGTCATGTATCTTTGCAATCTGAAAAATAATGCCTCTCAAGTCTTAGCTTTTCTCTCCTTAAAAAAGAAATGGATTTCTTAAGCAGTATTTGGAACATCTGTTTCTGATGACTGTAGTTTGAACCTAGATATTCATAAGAACTTTTTGTCCAGGGTTTGTTTTATTCTGTCTTTACTGGAAAAAATAAGTAAATCAATGTGTGTTTATTCAAAAGTAAATTAAAAAATCATTGGTGTTACTGCACATTGAAAATAAGAAGTTTTCATTTATAAACTGCCATCACTTTCATTCGTCTGTAAAGTCAGGCATCATGTGCAGTTCACCCTGGCAACTCTTGACTGAACAAAAGGCCACACTAGTGGTTCAGATTTTCTAGTACAAAATAGGTATTGAATGCATTTAACCAGCTAGTTTTAATGAGGGAGGAGATCTTCTGCCTACTGTATCTTCTTAATGGTCCTGATCAAAAGAATGTAGTGCTAAAATAGAAACACCTTTTACTTACTTTTTTTCTAGTGTATGAAGTGTGAATGTGGACTAAGGCCAAAACTCTTCTGGTCTGGAGGTGGAATATGAGGAATGATCACCTGTGAAAGTAATTCGATGAGTAACAAACCTAATAACTTGCTTTATCGCCATTTAATCTCCATCCCACACGCCTACAGAGGATGCTCAAGACCCCTCAAAAATACGTAATAATGATATAAATAGGCCATTGAATTCTGTATGAAAAGACACAAAAGATAAGAACCTAAAAGAGGAATGGAAACACAACATCAATGGAAGTGAAGAACTGAGTACTTTTTCCGCTGCCTCTTCTACAGAGGAAAGACAGGTCTTACTGGTTTTATTTGAAAATGGGATGGGATGGAGAAAAGCTGAGAAGAGAAATGGGTCACTCTCAGACACATTTGCGTATTATCCTATGATTTATTATGAGCACTCTGGAAGCTGAGTGGCACCAAGATACTTCTGGAAATACTAATCTAGAGAGAGCTGTACTTTATTCTGATTAAATCCTGTCACAAAGGGGTTACTGAACTCGAAGTTTTTAGTTCTTTAGAATGTATTTAATCTTGGTTAGGGCTTGGGGGTTTATTACGACTTCAAATGTTGAAAGAAGTTAGCTACTAACTTGGGAGGTTTCTCTTGTTTTCTTGCTGCTTCTGAACAGTAAAGAAGCAGAATGTCATGCAGGTAATTGCACTAGACTGAATGGATTGCCCTCAGGTGCTGCAAAAGGTCTAAGTCTATTGCAAAGCAAGATGATTGTGATGAATAGGAAACAGAGGGCCTGTCAGAGGAGTAAATCAGTTAGTGAGTCAATGGTAATGGCTTTGATAAATGAATGGATGTCAATATTAAATCAATTGGTGGGAAACATTGTTATACTCTGGGACAAGGATAAACACTTCAATAAAATACAGGACAGCTGTTTCATTTGAGTTAAACTCTGATTTTCTAGCCAAGCAATCAGCTTCCTGTGATGAGTGCAGTTTTTCGTTTGTTTGCTTGTGTTTTGGCTTTACTTGAAGGGAAATATAGTGATCCCCATTTTACGTGCTTCAAATAGACATAAATCTCTACTGGCAGATAACTTGGCATGATATTTATTCTGCAGTAATAACAGTACAGTACCCCAGCATATATACTAGCGCTGCAACTTTGCTACTGAAATAAAAGCAGTAGAGACAAGTAATAAATCGTTTTGTTAGACTGCCTTTGTCCCGTATAACTTTGGTTATAATTAATATTACCAGGTTTAGAATGCTTTTTCTATTTGCATTATTTCTTGATGTAACTTACCAGTCAGTGTAAGGTAGAATATTCCTGTTTTACAATTAAGCTCTAGTTATTCTCCTTTTCCTTGCAATTTCTGATAGTTAAAAGTTGCTATAGTAGAATTTTATTCTATAGTTAGAAGAATTAGTATTCATACATGATAATGAAAATTGCATGGTATATGGGTGTCCAAAATATTCACTAGTATAAGGGTATTATAATTTATACAGTTCTTTGCTACTGAAATAAACTGTCTTCTACTCTGCATATCAACTTAAAAAAAACCCAAACAAGTAAATCATGCACCCTCTAAATACTGAAATCAGTGAGAATTGTTTCAGTCTGAGAGTAAAATTTGTGCCCAAGACAGTGAAGACAGTTTCACAGAAAGACAAACCTCCATGCCTTTGTGTTCCTAATGGCGAGGACTTTTATCAGGTGTGAGTCCATCTTCAGTTTTCCTTTGTCCTTCATCCTACCACAGGAGGATTTTCTCCACCTGTTAGTAACATCATCTCATTGATCAAAATATAAATTCTGGGAAGTTGCAGCCTTTTTTGTGCCATATTTATTTATTGTGGTGTGCTGGATCAGCCCTTACCC